CCCCCCCCCCTCTGCCATCTCCACCACCAAAAAACTATGCCAGCCCTGATTGTCTGTATCTAGACAGGTCCTGCGCGATCGACGCGGGCACCACAAAAGGTCACGATCGGCCAAACGGCCATCATATGTGAATTATCTCTCACTATCACTCCAGCGCCCTCAACACGACGACACGCACGACCCACACGACATTCTAATGACAGATGGAAGCAAGGATGCAGGGGGTCAACAAACCACACTCCTACCAAACAATGATAAATTGGGGGAGGAAGACTCGCCCCCACGGGTGGGACCCCGACCGCACAGGAAGAACAATCTCATCAACCTATGCCCTATGTTGGTACCCCCACGGTCCGACCGCCTGCAGGAGCATGGGCGACTAAACTGGTGATTGGTTCGACATTGCCAAACATAGAAAGGGGCGAGAATCCCCTGCAACAGGGCCCTTGATGCCATGAGCCTGATGAGAGCCCACTTCATACAGAAACTTCATGTGCGGCCCTAGAGAAAATTTATTGGAAAAAATGGGTATATCTATCCCCATGCAATTTTCTCCCCACAGGCCCTGGCCAATCGAGACATGATCTACGCCAAGAATGCGGTGCAGTTCAGATTTCCGACAGAAACAGCAAGCACCCCGATCAATGACAAACTGACATGGGTCAACGGTCGATTGAGATCCATCAAAGCTGACAACCAAGCTGTGCAGGACGATTTCCTCATCGAAACTATTGACGCCACAACTGTGACAGTAATCACCATCTATTCGATTGACAGGGAAAACCTGCTCAGAATGCAAAACCTCAAATTCCACGGACGATCTGTGGAATTGTGACAGTGGATGCCCCTCAACCCGATCACATCCGACCAGCGCAGAGAACAGCTGATGAACAACCACTTTTGGGTTGAACTGCGACTTGCACCGCTATGCGTCCAAGGCGCGATCTTGGCAGATCTTGAGCAAATTGCGTCGGTTCTGGGGTATATAAATGACCTGCCTCAGGCTATTCCTAAAAGGGATGACTCACTATTGGTGGCAGTGGACTGGGACCCGAAGAATGCCTTCCCTGTCAGCGGCCAGTGGTCTTTCTCACACGCAAACCGCTTCTACGCAGTGCAGGTCAGCCACCCATAGGACCCCTGGTGCTACGCGTGCAAAACCAGAGGGCACCTATGTACAGACTCACAATGTCCCAATCACAGAAATGTGCTGACACAAGGATTGGTACAGTCACATCCACAAGGTCAGGGAAGATGGATCCCGGAAGACCAGGCACTCCATGGATGGGTCTTCCACAAAAAGTCCATCAGACTCCCATGAGAATGGAGATGGGAGGGGCAGGGGCGCCCCCCCCCCCTCTGCCGACCACAGCATCGCCAAGAGGAGGTCACCCCAGGGAAGGAAAGGACACTCCGATTGGTAGAACGGTACCATCCAGGCAGGCCTATCGGCTGCCTACGAGCAACATGACCATCTGCAGCTGTCCCCGCTAGCCAAGATCGCCCC